GGGGGGGGGGGCACTGAGGGAAAGGAAGGAGTGAGATGGGAGGGGATGATGGCACCATTGCTAAGGATTAATCAGGAAGAAGAGGGCTGGAGAAAATAGGAATTCCATTTGGGAAATTATTCTCAAAAACAACCTGGGGGCAGGGAGGAATAAAGTAAATACAATATATTAAATAGAATAATCATATAAAGTAGAAATACTTGTCCCAGGAGAACTATATTTTATTGGATGCTTAACTTTTAGCCACAGAGTGCCTGGTACTACTGACAGGTCTACAGAAGGCCTATCCTCGCTGTGTCCTGTCTCCACACCTCTGGAGAAAGAAGCTGCTTTAGGCAGTTCCTCTTCCTGTTCCCCCTTTTGGGATCCTGCCTACAGAAGGCTGACAAGCCCAGGAGCCCCTGTGGCCATCCACCAGTCAGGCAGACTGTGATGGTGTGCCTCATCCCAGAGGATAATGCTGAGATCCCCAGACTGGGAACAGCTGGAAGTCACAAGATTCGGGCCTGGGAGATATGGGGGAGAGGGACAGGCAGGTGCTCATGAGAAATGAATTTTCTTAGGATCTGCCAAATTTGAAGTGTCTATGAAATATCCAATCTAGTATGGGTCTGAAAATGAGAGAGGTGGAGAATGAGATTGCTAGGGACAGTGTAGACTGAAAGACTAAGTGCTTTTCTCAAGTAAATAAGTGCATGCAAGAGAGGTAGTAAAAGGGGGGAAACAGGAGGGGAGGAGGTGAACAGCAGAGGTGCTGAGGACCAGATGAGCAAGGACTGAGAAGGGACATGAACAACCTTTGGGAGAGCAGTGTCCATGAAGGGGGTAGAGTGGGTGCAGCACAGGCTTAAGAGTCAGATAACTCCTGGCTGTTTATTGGTTGAGACCTCTGCAAGTTATATAGTGGCTCTGAGCCTCAGTTTCCTCATCTGTAAAATGGGGATAATTGTATGTGCAAGGTTGTGACAGTAACATTTATAATGTCTTGTTTATGGTAGGCCCATAAATGTTGATTCATTTTCCTTTGTGCTACATGTAAGGATTTTGAAACAAAGGAAAAGAAGCAGGTTGTTAAACCTGAGGAAGGTGAGAGCAGGGTGGAGATGAAGTTCCAGATTAAGTGAGGTGCGTGCTTGATGGAAGGAGCCGGTGAAGAGGTGAGATTGAAGCGTTCAATTCCCTAAGAGAGAGACTGACATGTTTGAGAAGGGCTGGAAAGCGTGGGTTGAGGAAGCCCTCTTGGAAAAAGTAAGAGTATGCCTTTGCCATTGGCAGTATGGCCGAGCAAGTTAGAGCTGTATGGAGGGACAGGCAGGGAAATTGAGCCTGTGGCCCAGCTGACTAAAGAGCCAGACTTTGAACTCCAGTGGCTCCACTTTCTACCAAGTTGTCTTGGGCCAAGTGAGATAACTTTCCTGTCCCTGTTTTATTGGGGTGTTGTAAGGCTTAGATGAGAATCACAGAGCCTGGCCCATGATGCTTTGAGAATGTGAGTTATTTGTGGGTTTTTTTGGTGTGTGTTTTGTGTGTGTGTGTGAGGTGTTTTTAATGTTTGGGAGTTGCACACCTGATTGTCTCAGTTTCTCCCGTGGACCAAGTGATCTGTGTGGGTGTAGTGTCTACAAGTATGGACTTTGGTGTTAGAAAGATGTAGGGTAGAGTTCCCGCTCAGCCATGTACTTATTAGCTGTTTGACTTTGGGCAAGTGCTCTAGTTTCTCTAAACCTTGGTTTCTCTTTCTGCATAAAATTAGACTAGGATTTATGCTTAAATTTAGATAGATAAGGATTAAATGTGTGAAGCACTCAGCTTGGTAGCTAGTACTTAGTAAGCCCTCAATAAATATAGCCAAAGAGTGGGTCCAGAAGGGGCCCAAGCTTGAAGCCACAGGGACAAAGAACTAATTGTGAGTCTGTGGCCATACCACCCTGAACATGCCCCATCTCCTTTGATCTCTGAAACTAAGCAGGGTGGGGTTTGGTTAGTACTTGGATGGGAGACCACCTGGGAGTACCAGGTGCTACAGGCTTTTAAAAAAAGAAAAGAAAGAAAAAGAACTAATCCTGAGAAACTCAAACATCAATCAGAAGACATGGCACACACATATACACACCTGCCTCCCCTCTGTCCTATGTGATCCAGCCCTTCAGCTCCCTGTGACAGCAAGGGTAGGCATGGGGGCTTAATCATTAGGTGGTGAGGACTTGGACAACTTGGTGTCCAAATGCATCCTAGTCCTATGGATCTCGGGGTGGGGGACTTCTTGAGCACCCTGTAGTTGGACTCCTCTGCCTGCCCTGGAGGTGCCCCCTGCTTTATGCACTGCTGTGCCCACAGGACCGGGGCTTCTGTGTGGAGGTGAACACAGCCTTTGAGGACTTCGCCCACGTCATAAGCTTTGACAAGAGGGCTGCTGCGCTGGACGCAGGCAACATCAAGCTGACCTTCAATAGTGTGAGGGGTTGGGCGGGGTGGGGCTGTAGCCAGGGCTCCTGTTCAAACTCATCCCTGTGTTTTATTTCATTCCTCTCACTCTGCCCCAGTATAACTGTATCCCAGTTCAGGGGATGATGGTAGGAGCCCAGACCTCAACTTCCCACCTCCTAAGGCATGCCTGAGTGGGCCCCAGGTACCCACCCTCCTGGGTGACCCTGTTCTGTGTGCTTTCTGCCCTCAGCTACTGGAGAAAGCAGAGGCACGGGAGAGAGAGCGGGAGAAGGAGGAGGCACGAAGGCTGCGGCGCAGGGAAGCTGCCTTTCGAAGCATGCTGAGGCAGGCCGTGCCTGCTCTGGAGCTGGGCACTGCCTGGGAAGAGGTCAGGACTGCAGCCTGGTGCCACATGCCACCCCCTCAGTCCTGAGGGCAGCGGTGCTTCTCCATCACTGGGGGCCCACCCCAGTCATAACAGCTGGGGCCAGCTCCGGCTCCCTTCCTTCCTCCGCCCCAGCCCTGCCCTGTGCTCATGGCGGCACCCATGCCGTGCCGGGGCTGGTCTGATCAGCAGTGCTCTCCTGTTCAAGGTCCGTGAGCGCTTTGTGTGCGACTCAGCCTTTGAGCAGATCACCCTGGAGTCGGAGCGGATCCGGCTCTTCCGGGAGTTCCTGCAGGTACTGGAGGTGAGGCAGAGCTTCTGGTCCTCTGCATCTGTCCCAGGTGCTTAAACTCCTGAGGCCAGCTCCACAGAGACCTCACCACTCCCCTTCTGGTTCTCCTTTCCCTGGACAACTAAGGAGGGGGAGGTCTTAGGTACCCTGGATAAGTCTGAGGCTCAAGCCTCAGAGGATGAGGCAAAACCAGGTTTTAGGTTGCAGGGTCCTTCCTGAGGCTAACCCCGGTGTCTTCCTTACTCCTCTGTTTGCCTCTTCCAGACCGAATGCCAGCACCTCCACACGAAAGGCCGAAAGCACGGCAGGAAGGGCAAGAAGCACCATCGCAAGCGTTCCCACTCGCCCTCAGTGAGTTGGAAGGTAGAGGGATGTGGGTGAGGCTGGACTGTCTTGGGGAAATAAGAACTTTTCTTATTTTTGCCCTGTGTCATCTCTCATTGAGGGAAATTTGAGGATTCCTTTCATCATGGATCCTCCCTTTGCCCCCAATTCCCAGACTTGGGGGCTTTTGGAGGCCAGGGAATGTCTGGGCTGACATGTATCTGCTGATTCACGCAGGGCTCTGAGTCGGAAGAGGAGGAGCTGCCCCCACCGTCTCTCCGGCCCCCTAAGCGGAGGCGGCGGAACCCCTCCGAATCTGGCTCTGAGCCCTCTTCCTCACTTGATTCAGTTGAAAGTGGGGGTGCTACCCTTGGAGGACGGGGCTCCCCATCCTCCCGCCTTCTCCTTGGACCAGGTAAGCAGTTGGGAGCTGGAGAAGTTGGCCCAGACTGAGAGGAGGCCCCGGGGAGGCCTAGTCCTTGAGGGTAGAGTAGATTGGGAGGCCTGCACCTGTCAGAGAGTAGGAAGAACTTCCCATCCTGGAAGGGAGGAAACTGGACTGAGACTTCCTCGGGCAGGTCCCTGTCTGTGAAGAGTGAGCAGACAGATGGACTGTGGCAGAGGAAAGGGTGATCCCTCCTCCCATGGAATTAGCAGCGGGGGTTTCTATCTCCAGATCATGGCCTTCGGAGAGCCAAGAAACCAAAAAAGAAAACTAAAAAGAGAAGACACAAGTCGGTGCGTAGAGAAGGAACTTCTGCCCAAGGTCCTGCTATTGTGTGAGATCTCTTCCACCTGCCTCGGCTGTCCTTCATAGGAACTGAGGAGGCGGGCTCTGGACTCTTACAGAACAGTCCTGAGAGTGTGACAGACCCAGAGGAGAAAACTGGCAAGGAGAGTGATGAGAAAGAACCAGAACAGGACAAGGACAGGGAGCTCCGGCTGGCAGAGCTCCCTAACCGCTCCCCAGGTTTTGGAATCAAGAAGGAGAAGGTGAGAGGCAGGTGCCTGGTCCCAGCCCAGGCAGCGCTCTGTCCAGGCCTCCATGGCTCTCAGGGAGGCTGTGGGTGAGCTGTGCCTTTGCTCCACCAGACGGGCTGGGACACGTCAGAAAGTGAGCTGAGTGAGGGTGAGCTGGAAAGGCGGCGGCGGACACTCCTGCAGCAGTTGGATGACCACCAGTGACCTGATCAGCGGCTCTGCCTTGGGTCTGTGTGAGGCTGTGGCTACTAGGTCACCTTCACCGTCTGCCCCAGACTCCTTCCTTAGTCTGGTCTGTCCTTTTTTCCTCAAGTAATCCCACTCCCAACACACCATTGCCAGCACCTCCCAAGGTTGCTTGCGGTGTTCAAGGGTCCCTGACTTCCCGGACAACTAGTGCAGTCCTTGCCCTCAGCCCCACACGAAATTGGTGGTGTATGCCATGTGGGGTGGGTGATGCCAGTAGATAGAATGCAAGAAGGGGCCTCCAGGGAAGTGACAGGCTGGTGGACACAGCCTGGGTAGCAGAGGGCGGGGTCCTTACCCTCTAGCATCAGTGCCTGCTCCTGCCTGCCCAGGGCCCTGGGGCTCCACCACTCCGTCCTCCAGCCCTGGGACCCAGTGTATGTGTGTTTTGTTTTGTTTTTATAAATAATATTTATAACATGGCCAGTGGCTCTTTTGTCTTCATATGCTACTGGGGGCCTGGGGACTGGGCAGGTGTAACCATGGCCAGCAGGGGGTGCAAGTGTCTCATGGCAGGCAGGCCTCCCTTTGTGTGGTTGGAGCCCACCCAGCTTGGTTCCCCTCCCCAGGTTTCTGTGCTCACCTCCAAGCAGATGGCAGCTCTGCCCAGCCTCCTTTTCTATCCACGTGGCTCATGTCAAGCTAAATGGCCACCCTAGCCTTGCACACTCAGAAAGAGGAGACAGAGTCAGGCCTGGTGCTTCAAGCCTTTGTTGAGAGAAAGAAGATCTAGGGTTTATATACAAGAGAGAAGGGAGATGATACATGTACAAAAAGGAATGGGCCCCTGTATTCCCTTCCAGGGGCTAAGAAACCGGCAGGGGACTGAGAATATAGCCAGTTAAGACCACCATGCCCCCTGCCCCCTCAAAAAAAAACCTAGCTGAGGGAAGGAGGTGAAGGTGTTGTTGGCATACCCTTTCTCTAGCTGTCTTGGGACTAGAGCAGAGAAAAACCCCTCTGCCCACTTCAGCAAAGACAGAGTCTGGAATGCAAAGGGCCAGGGCCAAGGGCAGTAAGTGTAGCATCTCTCCTCTACCCTTATCACCAGGGCATAGCAGAGCGGGGCCCAGGCTTAGGAGGGCCTTGCTCCTGGTAAAAGATGATCTGAGATTGGCAGGGTCCCAGGGCTCCCCAAGCCTGGACACTTCTCTTGTCCCCTATGGCTCTATTTACTGATAGTGGCCTAGGTGCCCCTGTGTAGGCTAAAGCTGGAAATGGTTTTTTCCAGCCCTGAACTGACCCTTGGTGACCCTTGAGGAAGTGAAGTTGAAGACCTTGGAGGCAAAGTGCAGTACTGGAGGCACCAGGGCCGTGCCAGGCCCCGAAAGACCTAGTGCCACAGTGGCGGCAGGCAAGATGCAGCTTTGAGAGCTGGGGTGGGCACTGGGTTTGGAGCAGCATGGCCCTCCGCTGGGCCCTTGGCTGATTCCAGGGCTCCAGGTCCAATGGTTGGACTTGCAGGACTCTGAGAGTTGAAGTGCTTCTGCTTCCTAGAGGGTCTCAGTGGGGGCCTGGAGCCCGAGGGGGGCCACTGGGTGGGGCCACACTCCTGGCTTGGTGGCCAATGACAATAGGCTGGTGGTGGAGACCTGTGGGGGAAACAGAGGCCTATGAGTGGGCAGGGCAGCCAGGCCAGGCTCACCCTCTGTAGGAATAGTCCCTTCAGGAGCAGCCCAGACAGGGCCAGAGAAGAGCCAGCCATGAGTCAGATGAGCTTAAAAACGCTTAAAAACACTAGAGGGGATGGTCAGGGAGATGGCTGGATCTCTGCATTTTCATAGGACCAGGTAGGGGTGACTAGAGGCCCCTGGGCAGTGGCAGAAACAAGGTAGACTCAGCAAGAGCCAGAAGCTGGGAAGAGACCTTTGGCAGATTGGATATCGGGAAACAGGTCAAGGGACATTTGACGCGCCTGGGCAGAAGCTACTGCCAGAGCTCTTATGAGGAGGGGTCCTAAGAGGGGAATAAGGACAAAGGATACCCAAGCCCAGTAACAGAGTCTCAGGCTCAGCCATCAGAGGCAGTGGCCTGGTCCCTACCCCTTGGTCTTAGTAGAAGCTAGGACGGCATTAGTGGGGAGATACCACTTCCCTGAGGGCACATGCAGGGCATAAGCCATGCTTCTCAGAGCATGCAGGAAGGGAAGTATGTGTCCCCATCACCATGCTGCGGCCAGAGGATGGTGCCAGGTCATGCAGAGGAGGAGGTGCCTGTGGACCTCAGCAGTAGTCTTGGGAGGTAGGCATGCAGAGGGGCAGCTATGGTGCCCAATACCTGTCAAGGGCCCCAGCCTTGGGGGTTAACAGTTTGACTCATCATGGTGGGCTGCATCGCAGAAGAAGCGTGAGCCCCGCTTGGCAGTACGGGCCGTGAAAGGGACACTCTTCAGCACTGTGGCCCAGGAGAGAGAGACCGTGGTCAGGCCCCATGGGGTGGGGTGGGAGGAGAGCGCAGGAAATATGATTGGGTTTTGGGAGCTGGGCCCAGTGCCCAGGCCCCAGGGAGGAAAGGCCCCACCTGTGATAATGTCCTCAATGGTACCATCTTTCCCTTCATACACAGGCCGGTGCTCCTTGGCCTGGCGTCGCCTCAACTCGGCAATTAGCTCCTGCTGTTGCCACTTGTTCCGCTGGGATGGGGTCTAGTGCCAAGCATTTGAAGGGAAGGGAGTCATCACTAACCTACCATGGGGATAGTTCCTGCCCCAAGATGCAGTCCAAGTATGTTCTTGATTGTTCATGGCAGCCCTGTCCCTGTCCTTGCCTGGGAATCTCCTCCCAAAGCCCCTCTTTCCATCCCTTTGGACGCCAGCCTCAGGCCCTCTGGGTGGTCCGTGGGCTCCAGCTTTCCATCTCCTCTCTATTTGCTCCACCCCCTCCTAATCCTTTGCCTGGTTTCCTCCAGGCCCGTCTTGGCCCCACCCACCTTGGCATCCAGTTTCTTGGCTTCCTGAGCCAGCTGCTTCTCCCGCATTACCTCCTCCTGCTTCTTGCGGGCTTCATTCTCTTGTTCTGCTTCCTAAGAACCATGGTGTGAGTGTGTGTGTGTGTG